GCAACAGTGCTAACCACCGTGCTGCAGAATATAATAACATATTTCTATATTTTTAATAATAAATTAAATGTATTACTTACATTATATAAATATGTAAAGTATGTAATAAACATATTTTTAGTCTTTTAATCATTTATTATTTATTGACGCCATCATTAACTTTTTAAAATATGTATCTATACATTTATCTTACTGTGACAGTAAAGTTTACTTATAATGAAATGTATTATTTCATTAATTACATTTATTTAATATGTAATTAATTCATATGTATATTAGAGACAAAACACATTTTTATATTATTTTTTAAATCTTTTTGATACTAACAATAGACTTTTTATTTCAGTAATTATAACTATCAGTAAAATTAAATATATAATTTATAAACTCTGATATGACGTGTTTATATTTTTATAAATATTAAATAATATTAAATACATTTTGTTACTCTACAACCTTTCTTAACAAAGTTACTTTTAACTGCTTATTTAAATTATGATTAAAAACATTACAAATATTAAGGTGTTTAACTGAATGAGCGGCTGGGAGGAGCTCCCTGACTGCGCCCTGACTTCAGGTGAGCTTCCACGCAGGTGTTCGTGGAGCACACCTGCGTTTACCTGCAGTCTGGGGACAAACTGACCTCTTGTGGAAGGCTGCCAGCAGCCGGGGGTCCAGAATGTTCTCCTCGGGCTCCCAGCTGTTGTGCCTGAAAACACGACAAACATTTCACATTCAGGACGGACACGAGCGGGTTTTCTGTGTGGAGCCATCACGGAGGCCCACGCACAGCTGCCAGCGTTATCCACAAATACAAAACATGTCAGCAAATCAACATCAGGCTGCTCGGTGGCGCAGGACCGGCCGAGCCTCAGCCGCTGCGGCCCTGGAGCTGGACGTGTCCGCCGGCAGGCCGTGGATCGACGCCGGGCGCCGATGGGTCGGTACCGGCCGTGCTTCTCCCCCCGTGTGCCGCGGTAGGAGCCCCGGTGGCGGCGCGAACCGAGCCGCGGCCCGGCTTTGTTATGACCGTTAGCTGTTAGCAGCTAGCGAGCTACTTACTTGGAGGACCATCCTCTCCACTTCACCAGGTACTCGAACTTTCCCTGCGGAGACAGAACAGTCACAGCGGGCCGGGCCGAGCGGAACCACACCACACCCGGACCACCGGCGCTGAGCTTACCTTCCTGGGCCGCTTACTGAGGATACACTCCGCGTCAAACACCTGGCCGACGGTGACCCCCTCCATGGCTGCAGCTCCCCGCACTACCAGCGCGTTTCTTCCTGCCGGCCACCGTACTTCCCCTCACAGCGTCAGCGACCGGAGCCAGGCTAGCCGGTGAATCGGCCTCCAGATTACTACTACTAATAAAGATAGCATTATAATTATAATATACTGTAATAATTTATATTATTGTTGTATATATTTAAGAGCGCTAATTAGAAAATACAAATACATATGAACATAAAAGTATATTTACATTTTTGTACATAATAAAAACACAGAAATGTAGATGAACATGTGCTTTTAACCTGGTGTAACCTGCAGCGGCTGAAAGGAGAGAAAAACTCAGAGGTTTCAAGAATGACTTTCTAACATCTTAAACTTCAAGCATCATTTCAGCTCAGAGAAAACAGCTGCGTTTCTCCTGATCCCCTGACGCATCATTAATGTGTAAATTCAGGATCCACTCCTGCCCCCTGCTACACCAGTTAGCGGCTACAAACCAGCTGATCCTGATGGGAGAAGCAGGAAATGCAAACATGTACAGGCAGAGGTGGAGCCTGTACATGTTTTCAATTTAGTTCAATGTCATTTTCCATCAGTGAAAGTAAACGTGTGAGGGAGCAGAGCTGCAGCTGCGTCCTCTTTGTGTCTGAAAGAAGATTCAGCCGAGTCCATCAGGTTTCTCTGAGCAGCAGTGCAGCTGATCGCTCTGTTCATCACAGTCACATTGGCTCAATAGAAATGTGCTCATACAGCCACAGATCCACTGTAGAAACATGGAGCTGCTGTTTAAAGGGTCTATGTGGCACTGCTCAGGACTTTGGAATAAACCTCTGGGTGTCCACAAGTACCTCCTATCTCATGTTCCTAACCTGCTTTCCTTGACCTCGATGAAAACACTGAGGTCAAGGAAAAGTTGGTAGGAGATATGATAAGGACGACTAGAAGACTAGAAAACGCTGATCTTACTTAAACGGGTTAGGACACATGTTCCAACGTGCCGGTGTTTTATGGAGGTCAAACCAAACAAAAACCTAACAAAGAGGCTCAGAGTCAGTTTGTGAGTGAAAATTGTGAGCAGAGGTGTTTTTGTAGCTGGCGTTACAGCCTGTGTGTTTGTAGGAGTTTCACTTTCAGGAGGACATTTAAATGAGTCATACAAAAATTAATTTGTATGACATTAAGTTTACTGCCAACTGCACAAAACCTATACCTGTTGTAGTTGTGATATTTGCTGCTAGGAGAGTTTATTTTCAGGAGCGGTGTCATCAGAACAAATCATAATCAGCTCAAAGCTGTTATGTTCAAACTAAAACAATCCATTTTCATGACTGCTGATCAAATTCAGGGTGCCAGATGAAACTGGGCGAGAGGCGGGTACACCCTGGACAGGTCCGACTGTGCCATTTGAGCGCACACTAATAAAAAACTTTGCGATGCAAAAGACTACTTTTACAATTTTTTTATAATATTAAATTCAATTAAATTTTATTTATACAGCTCAAATCACAACAACAGTCGCTTCATATTGTAAGGTAGACCCTAAAAAAGTACATACAGAGAACAACTCAACATTCATAGTGCTTTGGCGACAGTGGGAAGGAAAAACTCCCTTTTAACAGGAAGAAACCTCCAGCAGAACCAGGCTCAGGGAGGGGCGGGGCCATCTGCTGTGATTGGTTGGGGAGAGAGAAGGAAGACAGGATAAAGACATGCTGTGGAAGAGAGACAGAGGTTAATAACAAGTATGATTCAATGCAGAGAGGTCTGTTAACACATAGTGAGTGAAGAAGAAACACCCAGTGCATCATGGGAATCCTCCAGCAGCCTACGTCTATTGCAGCATAACTAAGGGAGGATTTAACAGGATTTAACTTAAATTTAACTTAGGTTAAATTAAGTGAAATATTAAATTATTAAATTAAGTTATTTATTTAACTTAAATAACAGGCACTTTAAGTGCCTGTTATTTAAGCCAGAGAGTCGATCAACAGGAAGGAAAATATTATACTGAGACCTCAGTGTGGTCTCTGGACTGTCGCGCTGGGAAATGGAAATGAGTACAGCGCTAGTGCAGGTCTGTCAGGCTTTAAATATCAGGGGTGATTTCAGACAGAAGGAGCGCAGCAAGAGTGAAAGAGATAGTTTAGAGATTGTTGGAGGCCAAGCTGAAGATGTTCCTAATTTGCATATTTTGGCTGTTTTCCTTAAAATCACATTTTAAATGTAAAATCTAGTTTATTTCTGTCTAATTTTCTCTTTTGTTCTTTAAAAATATTTATTTATTTATTAACTTATATATATTTTAGGTGCTTTTAATGAAAACCAATTAACTACAAACGACTCCTGTTATTCGGGTATTTTTACAGTGAAGTTTGTGTTAAACAACATTTCTCAGCGGATAAATTCAGTCACGTGATCCGTTACCCTGCGGAACTCCGCCGGCGGAACGCTTCGCTTGTTGCTATGGGGCGGAGCGGACCACATTGTGTGTTACACCGAAGTGTTTCCGGAATCATGTTTGGTAACTGAGCAGAGGTGAATGCCGAAGAAACTCCACAGGTAACTAAACCATGAAGCTCCCACTGAGCGTCTGTAGTTAGTCCACAGTTAGAGTTTAACAACAGGTGAGTGAGCCGCGTGACGTGTGCAGTCAGCCGCTGCAGGTAGGTGTGTGTGTCAGGTGTCGTGTTTGCTGTCAGATCGCTTTATTTAAAATCAGATTTATTGAGTGCAGATCTGTGAAGCCGATGATCCCCGATAACGTTTCTGCTCTTTGTGGTTAAATCAGCGTCAAACCTCTAACTAAAAGTCGTTACATTCAGACTGGGCTCTGTTTTACGACGCGGACTCACACAGCAAAAGATCAGAGACACGTTTTCATGATTATCAGTGTCCGTGGAAATATTCGGCGAAGGATGCTTTTGAAAAGGCTGAATAAAAGCAGAAAAAATCTGTTTCCTGTTGCGATGATCGGCTGGAAGAGAAGGTCATCGATACTTTCGACTCGGTTACGTTTAAGGAGTCGATGCTTGTCAAGTGTCACATTGGCCGAATTGAAGAGTGACTTTTTCTCTCGCAGGATGTGTATTTATTAAATATGTGTTTATTTTTACATTTGTTTGTAAGACAAGTGTCTTAAAAGTGAACCTTTTGTAAATGTAGTTTGGGGGTCAGTGCACTGCTTCCACACTAACACAGTGTGTAATGTGCGGAATTAAAGGGTCACTTTTAAAAATGTGGAAAAGCTGTTTGATAAACTTTTAGCACATTAAGAACTTTTGTTACCGGGCAAAGTTTCTAAATGTGCACATTTCTGAAGCAGAGTGCAGGTGAATATAAAATAACAGCTCAGTTTACAGACTGTGATGTGTCAACATAAAGTCACCAACATTCAAATTATTCTGTGAACTCTGAATAGTCGGTGCAGTTTGGCGTGGTGGCGTAAAATCGTGTCGTTTTTGAATGGAGTTTGGTTCATTGTGGTTTTCACCTGACGAGTTAAACATGTGGAGAACGTCTTCCTGTTTATTCCACACTAACACTCTGATTGTCGTGCAGGTGAGTCTCAGGTGTGACTGACTGCAGCCATGTTGCTGCCTCTGCTGCTGCGGCCGCCCCTCTGCCTTCCTCAGGCCTCGGTGGTATTAACGCGATGCGTCCGGACGCTTCGCTGTGGCGCTCCGAGGGGGCTGCGCTCTCAGGCTAAGAACTTCCTGTGGCGGTGGCGTCCTCAGCGCCTCCACAGTCGGGGGCGGAGCAGGAAGACCCAGAGTCAGGAGGAGGAGTGGAGGAACAGGAACAATACTGCGCTGACCTACATCGCCGCAGCCGGCGTGGGAATGATCGGCCTGGCATACGCCGCAGTGCCGCTGTATCGACTCTACTGCCAGGTGAGCGCGCACACACACACACACACGCACACACACACGCACACACACACACACACACACAGCTGCTGAGAGCTCGTTTGAACGCTCAGCTTCTGTCGCCAGGCAACAGGGCTCGGCGGCACGGCGGTGGCCGGACACGACGTGGAGCAGGTGGCGACGATGACGCCCGTGAAGGAGCGCGTCATCAAGGTGACGTTCAACGCCGACACGCACGCCAGCATGCAGTGGAACTTCAGGCCGCAGCAGACGGAGATCTTCGTAAGACTTCGCGCTTTGTCTCCATCCTTCATCACTTCCTCCTCCTCCTCTTCCTCATGCACACGCTCTGTCCTCAGGTGGTTCCCGGGGAGACGGCGCTGGCGTTCTACAGAGCCAAGAACCCCACAGACAAACCGATCATCGGCATCTCCACCTACAACGTGGTGCCCTTTGACGCCGGACAGTACTTCAACAAGATCCAGGTAATCAATAATCAGTCACATGATCAATCACAACACTCGCCACACTGGACAGGTGAGCAGGAGGTTGAGAGGCGGGGCACACCTGGACAGGTGGCCTGTGTGTCGCAGGACTAACGCACACATTCTAGATTCACACCTGCATGGATGTGTTTGGACTGTGGGAGCGAGCCCTACACAGAGACGCTCCGAGTCGGCGCGTAAAGCCGTGGCGTTGGCGGGTGATCCGAGCTGGTCGCTATCACACGTGTGACACGTGATCTCTGCTCGTGTGTCTGCAGTGTTTCTGCTTCGAGGAGCAGCGCCTGAACCCTCACGAGGAGGTGGACATGCCCGTCTTCTTCTACATCGACCCCGAGTTCGACAACGACCCGCGGATGGCGCGAGTGGACACCATCACGCTGTCCTACACCTTCTTCGAGGCCAAAGAGGGTCAGATGCTTCCTCTGCCCGGATACAGCTACAGCTGAGCGAGGGCTCCGCCTTTCTCCAAGGAAACGAAGGAAAAAACTGTTCGGATAATCGAGACTCTTCACTCTGACGTCACGTTAAAAGTCTGATCATCAAACGTCCCGACGGAGGAGCTCTGTGCGCCGGAGGGTCGAAGCATTTCCAGGAAGTTGCAACATGAAAATGTACAAGGAAAACATTTCTGTCAAAAA